ATTTTAAGGAGAAACATTGTGAAACCACCTTTATTTTCGTCAGTTTGATGAATTATGAGAGGAGCAAATATGTCCTTCAATTGTGTACGAAATCGTAGATGATGAAGACGGCGTTGCTCTAGAGGAGGGGCGACGGATTACTGGACAGCGCCTCTATATCTCTTTCCTGGCCAAGGCTCTCTGACCAAGGCTTAGGCTCAAAGCGCAGACGTCAGGAGTCATCGAGCGATCGCCTCGTAGGGAATGTATAGTTTCCACCAAGCCTCGGTGGAAAGCCTAAGCCTCGGTTATTGGAAAGGACACGCGCAAGTGAATGTCCCCTTCGGCTTTTCATACTGCAGCGTTTCGAGCGTCCGCAGCGCCAGCGATTATAAAAGTGTAGATATCGATCTAGCGGACGCCAGGAAGTAGGAGTGAAGCGACAGCTGGATTAACACATTGTCGACAAGGCAATTTTTGCGTGTCTGCCGCGTGGGACCAAGCAGTTTTTATCCTATTTTCGAAAATGCGCATAAATGCTAGGACGCTTGTACACCAAAACAATTGAAGAAGACTAGAATTCAATGCAGAAGCTAGTAAGGCTTCGCTGTTTTTGTTTACTTTCAAGATAAACCCTAAATTTTCATGAAACACACTTTCTTCGCCGAAATTACCTTTTTCCTAAGGAAATCACTTTCGTTTGTTCTCTCATGTAAGTGCTCACAATGACACAACTGCATGGTTTGCAGCTATCATATATTCTACAATACCTTCCTGGATAATATGTGGCTGTTGAAAATTTGAAACGTATTCAAATTGGTTTTTACCCATGCCGCATCCCAGCAGTGGGACGCAATGTCCCACGCGGCAAAAAAGGTGCGTCCCAGCAGTGGGACGCAAGTGTCGCCAATGTGTTAAGCGTCGTGAGATTGCGGCTGTGCCACGGCACCGTAGAACTGTTAAAGCACAGAATTGTGCTGTTTTGATGTATGATGTAGTGCAGTGAGAACTTTACCCAAACCCGAGAGACAAGGAGTTCTGAGCGGGTGAACCATCAGTTTTTTTATGTGGGGTTGTTCTTTGACATTACGGTATTCCTTATTCTGCACAAGATTCCTTCAAATGCCCCTTACGTAACTTGCCTTTTTTGTATTACTCTCTGTCTCTCTACGACACAACAGCAGTCCATATCGGCTGCTGTTGATTACATAAATGTATTTTATTCGACTTGAAAGTAGATTACATCGCTGGTGCGGAAGAAGCGAAAGAATGGCTTGTCATGAAATTGAACGATACTAACGTGAGCTGTCGTTCATGCAGAAGCTGCACCATTACTGCTGTTATTTGTTTTCGTTGTTTTTTCCACTCCGTCGCAGCGTGACAACACTTGATGAGGGAAATCACCTTTCGCGGCCGTGCAACGCCTTTCGCCAACGTCAAAACATTGATCTGTCCCTTTCGTCGTTGAGTTCTGAAAGCGAAACTAACCCATACTCAATATGGGACGACTTCTCATAAAACTAATACGATCCTTTCCCTAACACATTGAGTGTTACATAACAACTAGTAGCAAACGGTCTGGGCTATCATAGCGTTACGGTTAACTAAAAACATTTTGCGCCACCTCTTTACAGCTAACAATAAGCTATTGGTAAGTGCGCTGCGTGTCTCATCACTTCAAACGCGACCATTTAATTGCACGCGGAAAAACTGCGAAGTTTTCGTTGATTTGTCGTCACTGCAGGCTGTGTGAGACAATCGTAGGTGTGCACAAGGAAGGAGGACCTAACTGCGCTTATGATTGAGCCTTCTGTCCACGAAGTCTAGTAAGAAGTGAATCTCGTCGACAGAAGTTCCTCTCTCCAGTAATGTTTGTTGATAGATAGTTTGGCACTATTGAACTATTCCTAACCCAAAATATCAAATTTTTCGCTGAAATTTGCCTATAGATGTTATTCGATGTCCTGATCACGAATATGACATTTATTTTTCGACACCAGCGCCATTTAGCATTCTGCTAAGGCTGAATCCTGCAGAAAGAGTGATTCCCTTTAGGCCAGTCACAGCCACAGCAGAGCGGAGATGCTCATAGTGTCTTACACTAGCCCCAGCGCCAAGAGCAAATGTCATATTCGTAATAGGAATGTTAGATAACCCCCGTATGCAAGTTTTCATCGATTTTGGTGAGTTGCGGTGTTTTGGCGTCGACACCTGTGGTGCAGGCGCCAGGCGGTTTTCGCCTAAACGGATGTGATATTCTTGTTCAGGAGGTCGAACTATCCCTGCAAGCAAATTTCCAGCCAAATCTGCCCTCGTAGAAAAAAGTCGGTAAAAAATCGGCCTGGTTTCGGAAGACTGGGGTAGGACAGTTTTTTTTTCAGCAGTAGAAATAACAACATATTGACAGTTCCGTCGCTAAGAGAGCGTTAAGTGTTCGCGATGACGCGCGTCAACGCGCTACCATTGCAACAGCGTCCAGTATTATAGACCGAAATGCAGCCGTGGAAGAATGTCGATCGGCACGCCGCTAGTGTTTTGAAAGGAGTATGGGAGAAGAGCAGGGTGCTTAGGCTCACACCTTTCTTCCATACTTCTTCAAAACACTAGCAGCCAGCGCCGATCGATACCCGTCTGTGGTTGCATTCCCGTCTGTCGCTTTGGGGCGCTGTTACGATGGTTATCCCCTTCTTCGTGCCGGTGCCGCATCATCGTGAAGTTTGAACGCTACCTATCGCAGTAAAGGGTGGGGGGGGGGAGATCAGCCGCGTCACTATATACCTCCCGTCACCAATCCTGAAGCTCATCGACAGCTGTCGACTAGGTCGAAGAAGGGGATAACCTCACAGAGAATACACGGTCTCCACAAAGTCAAATTAGAAAACAAGAGATAGACGTGAGTTGAAAAACTATTACAAACGCAGATGGTTCGTTTCGTCCGGTTACCTAAAACGAACTACTGTTATTTCGCCAATTCCTAAATAGATAGGGTTTAGTCTGTGGTTTTATGTGGAGATAGAGCGAAAAGACGTGCTCGGACAAAAGTGGTAGCCTTGGGTAGGGTAAAGGGAAACAGAGGCGCGACTGGTCCCTTAACTATCTCAGCGCCCTTTTCTTTGACGATTTCAATATATTCGTTAAGCTTTTGGATAACTAGTTTCACTTCAGTTGAGCATCATCATCCAAAAGTTAGAGCAACAATTTCTGAGCTATTAATACAGCCCGTAGTGACGACTGTGACCACTTCACGTTGAAGATAAGCATCTCCGATGAAACCGCTGAGATGACCCTTGAGCAGCAGACCGGGATGAATGGGTTCATTCGGAGAGAAATTCTCCCCCTGGTTGTTAGAGTTATGCCATAGTCATAGTCGATCGAGTTTTCTATGCTCTTTCGCAATCTTACGACATTATCCACATCTCAACGCCTCCTCATTTGCTCTGTGATTTACTGGAGCAGGTTACTGGAGGCGTTCTCTATTGAGGCTGCCTCAGTTGTTTGGCTCAGACGAAAATTCGGAGGATGCGTCAAACCTAAAACATTGGTGAAACTTGTTTTTCTCTTTGGCGACTAGCCATGCGCTACTGTTCTAGTGTCATTCTTACTGGTCCTTCAGCTATTTGCACAATCGGGGCCAAATTGTTAGGTGCTGGAAGCGATAATCTTGAGTTTTTACTGCTACAGTATTTGTTGATAGGGTTCCACCTTCAGTCAAAATGTCAAGTCTGTTATCGGAATTATGAATGTCGCTCAGTTTGACCGTCTTATTTGTTGATGCCTGCACACCTCTCTAAATATTGTTAATAGGGCTAATATGGCAGCACACGGTAACGACATAGAACCGGAAAAGCTGGATATACAGCTCACGAACATGGACGTGAGTGAGACGATTGTGCGAAATATTTTCTTGGAAGTTGTCCGGTGGCACTTCGGAGACGAGGGGGGGGGAGCATTTTGCACTTTTACTGTTTCCCATCGGCATATCAACACATCTAGAGAGCCATTTCCTCACCTTACAAGCGTTGACCATTGTCAGATTTTACTTTGGTGCTGGACGAGCTTGCTCCAGCTTCAAGTTCACAGATTTCACCAGAGTGGGATTCGTAAATCGGAAGTAGCGAAACAGCGAAAGTGCAAAATGTCCCTCGTCGCCGAACTGCGCCGTTTTCCAATATCTAAATGTTCATTGTTACAGAAAACCGTGGAGCCGTCTGATCGGTCGGAGGGAGAGGAACAGGAACCAGTTCAGTTGAAGTGAGTTTTTTACGCTTGTTTTCAGTTTTGTCATAATACAAGTTCGATTTTCTTGCAATCTTTCACAACGATTTTGCAGTATATCATTAAGCGTCAACCATATTGAATAGCTTCAACAGATCGACGTTTCGGCGTCTTCGCTTTCGTCAGAGCCTGAAATGGGCGAAAGAAAAATGTGTTTCTTGTTCATTTCGAGCTCTCTCGAAGGCGAAGACGCCGAATCGTGAGTCTAACCAAGCCATACAAGCTTATAAAGGTTTGAACATATATTATGACAATCTGGTCATAGTTGGTGCGCTTCAATTTTGTACCTTTTAAGGGTATATGCACGAAGATGGGTAATTCTTACTGTAGTCGCCATGCTGAATAACACCAACACAATGTCATGGATTGCGTTCGCTCCAGTGTCGAACTATGTGAACAGTTTTTACGGCGAGAATAGTGCTGCCTGGTACTTACATTATTTATTATTGTCTTTTCCGGGTGTGATTAATTAAGTTCACTGTTTGTTGTAACAGGTTTTCCATGGTGTACATGATTTGCACCATACCTGTTGGATTCTTCGCTATGTGGACAGGTCGTCGTTTTGGTCTCCGGAGCGCTGTATTGATTGCAGGTGTTTTATTTTTCATTTCGTTCCCTGTGAGACGCGCTCATGGACTGAGGAATTCACCAATGTGAGAGGTCAAACGAGGAAAGTTCAGCTATCGGTATTGCGATTGCGGGAATACTTAGCGATCCGGCGATCCGGCGATCGCGCACCAAAAGAGTGGGGGAGGTCCCCCTGATAGTCGAGATTCGAAGATTCGGCGATCGGACGACTTGGGAGATTGACCGATCCGGCGATCTGCGAGATGAGCGATAAGGCGATTTGTGAGACTCGGCGACCGAGTGATTTGGGAGATTAAGCGAATAGGCGATTTGAGACACTCGGCGATATGTCACTCTGGAAGATCGCCGGATCGCTTGATAAACACCTGTACTTTCCTCATCGCCCTACTCTACAATTGCTGATGTCTCCCAAATCGCCGAATCTCCTCAGTCACAAGTTATGAACGCGATCTAATCTCAGCGAGCTAGAACTCCTTGATAAAGGATTTACTCATCTAGTGTTATGGATGATCTTGCTCTAATAGGATGGCTTTACGCGATGCCAAGGTCCGCTTCACTGTGCTTTTTGAAGCGTGTCCGCGCGTTCTCTGGTCTGCGCTGCACTCAGCCTGAACTTGGACTTGAAAAGGAGATCCTGTCGCATGTCCTCATATGAGCGCGCTAGACTTTTCGTAATCTCTTGAACTTGATAATTTCTCTTTCAGTAAGAATGTCGTACTTGTAGAAGGGGACTATGATTCATCTATATTTTCAACTTCCAGTATGTTTATGTTCTGGGTGATTGCTTTCTTTACTTGAAGGATGGACAAATGGTATTGGTGGCCTGATTAGGCTATCCAGTTCTTTCCTCCCACTGCAATATCGCTTTCCTGTCGGGATCACAGGACAAGCGATTGCTGCCATTGCTTATCCTTTCATTATGTTTCTACCCACGAAGGTAATCCTACTATAAGCGGATTAGAGATGTGTCTTTCAAAATGCTGCTTTCAGGTAGCCGGGTCGTGGTTCCCCGACACACAGCGAGGTATAGCAACAACGATTGGTGTTATGTCTAATCCATTAGGAGTTCTTCTTGCCAATGTAATAAGCCCTCAAATGGTCCGTGCACCAGACCATGTTGTATACCTCAACATCTTCACGTTTGTTCCTGCCGCTGTTGCCATGATCCTCGCAACAGTGGGTTATTTTGTTCTAGCAGTTCTTAGAGGGGATTCATCCTTTCGAAAGTCGACTTCGTCAAAAGGAATGGTTTTTTAGGTCGCAGTTAAACGTAGCGAACCGAAAATACCGCCGACATTTAGCGCTAGCAAACCTCAGATGGACTTCTTCCCTGGTATGTTCATTTTTCCCCGATGTATGTGCTGACTTCCGTTGCATACCTTACTTGTTTTTCCTGATGAAGTCTATTCAGAGACAAAGTTTTTTTTAAATTTTTCCCCCGGTATTCTCTCGCTAGTTCTTTTCTACTACTGTCCCATCGACGCGTGACTGCGCAAAGCATGACTAACGGGATCTCGTCAGGGCTTTTTCAGTGGGTTCCTTGCATTTCCTTTGGTGAAATGTTACTCACAACATACGCAAACCCTCCTTGTGCAATCGAGCATTGTATCTTTAACGAAGGACGCGCTCTCGCGCTGTTTGTATGCCAGAAATGCTTGCCTAGGCTGAAACAAATACGAACTTCGTTTTCATATTAATAAAAAAAACCAGTGTGCCAGAATCGGGAAGTAAAATGATATGGATGCGATTGGATATAACATTTCTACACTGAACTGGATTCTTTTAGAATCAAGCTAAGGTTTTTCAAATCAAGTCCCACGTTTTTGGGCATTTTTTAAACTGAAAATTTTTCAAATTGATAGGACCTGTCTCATATTTGACCATGCGCTCTGCCCCTCAGGCAGCGTTCAGACTTCGCGACGGCAGCGCTTCGGTCGCGCGTTCGACGCGATCGATGCAGTCGAAAGCATGCGCATCGATCGCGTCGAACGCGCGACCGAAGCGCTGCCGTCGCAAGTCTGAACGCTGCCTTACAGCTCTCACCTACAGCTCTCAATATGCAGCAGAGTAGTACTATGGTGTGAATAAATACTATTATTTTTAAACATCAGTGGTCGCACGCCTTTTACTGAAGAAGTACTGTTTTTTCGTGTTCCTGATGTTAGGAAGGAGAAATTTTGTTCAGGTCTGTATAGTAAATTCAGAGAATTACTATTTCAGGACTCAAAGCATGTATGATGTCTAAGCAGTACCTTATCCTGTTTATCGTCATGGGCGGTGGAATCGGCATGTTTAACTGTCTTTACACTATCATGCAGGTGCTACTTGTTCAGTTCGTTTTGTTATTTTTTCCTAGGTTCATCACCCAATTCTTGCAGGAACTCCTCTGTCCGTCCGGATATTCGAATTCATTCGTCGGTTTGTGTGCTGCTCTCATGATTATCGGTGGAATAGTTGGAGCTGCCGGAAGTGGTTCGTGACTTTTTTTTGACACTAGTCGGTCCTGCTCTTCGTATTTCCGTATATGACAGCTTTGTTTATTTATATTTGTAATGAGTTTTTGCAGGTGTTTTTGTGGACCGCACAAAAATGTACGAAGAAACCATGAAAGTATCCATGGGCCTCGCTGTTGTTTTCGGCTTGATTTTTATGCAGGTGGCTTTTATTGTTCGATGTGAAAAACATCCAGAAACGAAAGCAATTAATACATTGTTCTGTTTAGATTTTACCGCTTACTGTTCCAGCTCACTCTCCACACAAATTTCGCTCCTCTCCTGGCTTTGACCTGTGTGTTGTTCGGGATATTTGGTCTAGCCACTTACCCTGTAGGACTCGAACTGTCCGCTGAGTGCACATTCCCAGTATCGGAAGCTACATCAACAGGACTCATTGTCCTTTCTGGACAGGTGAGAGCCGCCACTTACGGTTGCCGACGTTCAAAATAGTGAAATGAAGTAGAGATCTTTATTTCAAGGTTCAAAGCGTACTGTATGTCCTGATCATGAAGCAGTTTGCACGTCCACTTCAACCGGAACGGATGCAAGATCAGGTATTTTTTTATGAAGATATGCTTTGAGTGCACGCATAAAGGACTGGACACGGGAATCGTTGTTACGGGATAGGTTTAACGGTGAGTTTATCTGGGGCAGAAACCTTCTTTGCGAAAATAAAATGGGAAGAAAGTACGAAGTATGCGGATGTGCAATGCGAGCACTAAGCAAAGTAGCTGAATACACGTTCAAGACAGATTCGGCGAATGCATGTTAGGGGAGGGGCGTTCAATGACGAATCTGTAGTCGTAAAGTGATTCCAGGGAAGAGAAAAGCAAAAAAAAATTACGGAACACCGTAAGAACGCCCGGGCGAACGCCAAAACGCCCATTGTTGGAGTTGTGCGGACCTGCTCGTTTCATGCCTGCAAAGCGATATTCTGCCACTTATGACTCACTCATCGTTTCTCCGAGTCATCCGATGCTAATGTCATTCAATGCCATTCAAACGTGAAAAAAAAACAAAAAAAGGTTTGAAAGCTGAACTCATTAGAGAAAACGGCCCTTGAGTTTTGGTGGGCAGGCAACCAGGGAATCGCCAGAGCTGCCACTAAGGAGGGCCGCAACTCTTTTGTTACTTACTATGAGACTGTGAAACTATCTTAGGGAGCGCGTACCAGACTATTTGAACGCTTACACATTAGTTGAGCGTGGGTACTGTCTTTCAAGAAAAGCCAAGGAATGTTCGTGGACGTGCGAGTGCTAAACGTCAGATCCTCGACTTCGCAACGAGCCGCTAGTTGCAACATTATGCGGAGGGCAAAAGTTAAAACCTCGTTCGAAGACAGCTGAATCTCCTATGGTTGGTAACTTGAAAATCGGTACTTAGGCTTTGTGTGTGGGGGGAGGCTTTTTGCTGATCCTCATCGACTATTACCGATTCCTCTTGTGGAGATCTATGAATTCCTATAAAGCTATGCAGAGGCAGGAGCTCCTTTACTGTTGGCAAGAGTCTGCAGGTGTCGCCAAATGAGGTCTTATTCAGCTAATTCCACAACTACGGAACTAGCAAATGGATTCCCATGAGTACCTGGGAATATTTCAGAAGTGAATCATTAAGCACAACATAAGATGATAATCAAAACGTTTGGAGGAGCAGGCTGAAGGAACACCGTAGCAAACGATTAATGAAAATGGGCGCGAACACCTGCGAACTCACTCGCGATTACTTTTACGTATGTATTATAGTTTACCGGAAACATTTATCTGGATGGAGGGTGGATCTCGCCTTTTGAACGTTCCCTACATTTTTTGTTACAGGTCTGCACTCTAGACGTAACGGACAAGATGAACCAACCGAAAGATAATACACAAGCTGTTATGGTTGGTGATTAAGTACATGTGTGATATTTGAATAGTACTTTATTCACTCGACTTCTTTAGGTCTTTTCGCTACTGGCCGCTCTACTTGTGTTGGTGCTTGTCATACTTTTCAAGCCGGTCTATCGCCGTCTAGAAGCAGAAAAAGAGAATAGAGCGCGTATTGATAAAGAAAAGGAGTCACGAATGAACGACCAGAAGATAACCCTCCCACGTGAAACTGTCACTCAACCATTGAATAAGGTAGATGACAATGTTTAGTATCGTAGCGTTTACTACTCACTTGTTGCATTTCGTGTATCTCTTCTTCACATACAGGACTTCACTTTCCAAACGGTTAAAGCTGCGTAATCTGGAAAATGGGGAGGGGGTGCGGTTATCCCTATCGCTCTGGAAATGATTATGTGAGGTTGGTGGAAAAGAAAGTGCCGAGCTGTGGTTCGTATTGAAGGGGCTTACGCTCGATCAGGGAGAAATTGAATTACTCTTGAAGTTAAAGCATTTAAGGGACAAGGTACGCCCTCTGCGCTTTGGGACGAAGTCACTACTAGTGCCCAAGCTTTGCGTTCATTAAACCTCGGCAGTATTGTAAACTTTGCAGTTTGCAATTTATTGTACCAAACAGGCGGTTAGGTACAATAAATTGGAATAGACTATTGGAATTGGCCCGACGTTTTTACTGATCGTCCTCAGAGGCCCAAACATAGCTCAACGCTTAGATTTTGCACCCTCTACATCGCGAAACGTTCCGGCACAGTAGCGTTTTTGACGGAATTTGAGATCTAGCGGTAGGTTCGTTCCTCCTGGGTTTTTCAATAATTCTTCCGGAATTCCGTCAAAAACTCTAGGGTGTCGAGGCATCTGGCGGCGTAGAGGGTGCAACATGTAAGCCTTGAGCTATGTTTAGGCCTCCGAGGACGACGATGCAGCCGAAACGTCAGACCACAATCAATAAAGTCTTCTACCCAACAACCTCTTGGGCACAAAAAATTGGACATGCGACGTCATTACTCCCTGTGCTTACTCGTGGGATACAAGCTATCACTTCGCGGCCCTCAACAGTGCCTCCCGTGTTAATAGGGTAGGAAGCTTATAATGAGCCATTCTGAGGAGTAGCAGTAGCCTTGTTGGGTTATGTTATGAGCTAGCCTACAGGTGAAGTGAAATTCAGTATTGCTTTGTTCGTAATGATATGGTTGTTTTGTTGTGATTTTTGTTAATACGTTATCCTTAAACATTGAGCTTAGCAATACTACATAATAATGTTGAAAGAGTAATTGTCACTGTCATGAGGTGTCTCAGTGAATGAGCTCAGTATGTTTTCTTTTTTTTCCCGAGCAGCTGAGTAGAGAGCTTTGTTGTGATGCTCAGTTCCATCTATCCGAACCCATCAAACGATTTTGAACTGTTGCTAACCATATTGGAACAAAGTTTTAGCGTTGTTGTTATTGTTTGCAATCTTCCCATAAC